AATACCTTTCTGCCCAGCTTGTGGCTGCCACTCCAAAGCTCTACGCTGTAGAAGCGAGCAATCCTGACAGTGCAGTGATGCTATGTCTTATCTATTGCAATTCAAAAGAGCTCTGTCACACAGAGCTTGGTCTTGAAAATTCCTCATCAGGCTGGCAGCAACATATGGTGATCCCTTGAAGGGGAGCAGAGATTGCTGTTAAAATCTGGCCTCAGAGGATCTGAAAGGTAGCAGCGTATTCCTTGCATGTAGCTTTGTTGCACATACTCTTCTTTTGCTTCTTTCCACTTAAATCTCCTCCTTACATACTTTGTTGCTGAGAAGGCTTCTGTGCTTCCTAGTCTGTACTACAAAAGAGCGAAGCTGAGTTAGCAGAAGTCACTTTAAGTAAGAAAGAACTAAAAAGGGAGCTCAAGTAGCGGTGCTCCAATAGAAGTCTGCTGCTTACAGATTTGGGAAGTGTATCAAGGGAGCCAGGGAAGTTGCTGCTGCTCAAATAATACTGAGTTGCCACTGAATTGCATTGTGTACTGCTGCGAATGAGTGTGAGGTTTGCTAAGTACAGCTGCTCAGACAGAATCTTGCCAGGCTGAAGGGTGGTGGACCTGACTGTGAGTTTGCTTCAGCAGCTGCCTGCAGCACAGGGACTTGCAGGGTTCGTTGGATCTTCCAACCGCTGCTGTACCCCAAGAGCCAGCCCAGGCAGAGGGGGACCTTCTGTCCAGCATCCCCCTGAAAGGTCATATTTCAGCATCAGATCCTGGAGAGGATGCTGTTGTTTGCAACAGACTGTTTCTTGTCTGGGCAACTAGCACAAAGAAAGCTGCTGCAGAGCTGCTGTTTTCACCATTTTTGTTTGATATTGAAAACATAAGAAAAAAGTTATTGTGATGCTGTGATCTTCTAGGGCATGGTTTTCTGGACACAGGTTTGTTTTACTTTCACCTGCAAAGCTGACTTTGTCTTTCTAGACCAATAGAGGGCTTTATTGCAAGGAGACCTTGTTGCCTTTGAGACCTTAAAGGTGTTATGGAGGCCAGACTGGCCAGAGGCCTTAGCTGGAATTAGTCTACTTCTTCCCACTGAGCAACCGTTGACCAACTTCACCCTGCAGTTTGGCCCCCTCCTACTCTCCATTTAACGTGGAGCTATTGACGGCAGCATCCTAGGAAATACCCTTTACTGAACATTGACAAGGTATTGGAATTAAAGCCCTACTTAGATTTGGATTAGGTTTTTGTTTGGGGTTTAGTGAGGGGTGAAATCAGTCACTCAAAACTGTTTGTATGAGAGGAGTTATCAGGGTAAGTCATTGTAAAGACTAAAGCCTCAGCTCATATCAGTCAGTAAAACTTCAGTGGTGTCAGTAGAGCGAGCTGGATGAGGCTCATGGAAAGCCTCCCGCATCACAATAAAATTTGTTAAGGTGCTACTTGGTACCTCCTGACATTGGTGAAAAGTTTAAACTATGCTTCTGACCTTGGCTAATAGTTTAAGCTGCGTTATTGTGGGGACAGATTTTAATCAGTTTCTGCCTTCTGGGTTTAGGGACGAAGTTTCATTTAAGTGAAATGAAATTTTCCTGAGGAAAAGGTGCATTTGTTGATATTTTAAAGCTGAATCTTCCTTGATGTGCCTGTCAGTGTGAAGGGTAATGACTAGCCTGGGGAATGCTTATTCCAGTGCATTGCTCACATCTGAGAGCCAGGTATCGCCGTCACACAATGGGTGCATTTGACACAGTGTTCCTAAGTTGTGACAGAAACCCAGGTCACACAGGTGGGTTTTTCTGAGCTGGAATCCAGCAAATCCATAGACATCTGCTGGCGGCTAGTAACTAGTTTCAAGATGATTTTGCAGACTGAGTGATCAGAAAACTCTTCGGAGCCTTTTGAGCTTGGAGGTCATTCTGTAAGAAAATAGCACCACCTACTGCAAGTACTTGGTCTTGGGTGTAGAGTTAAATACTGAGAGTGGCTTCTTGAGTCGCTTTTAATCAAAACTATATATTCCTCCTGTGTCTGTTTCACACCGTCTAGGGTTTCTTTATAAACAAAAGCAGCTTGTTTTGTGTTCTGCTGCAATATGCCAATGTAGAACAGGCAGTATTTGTTAAGTGGAATTCTTATTAAAAATTAAAATCAAAACTTGTCATTCAACATACAACAGCGATTCAGATAATAACTTATTTAACAGGCGCTCATGAGACATCATAAATTCTGGTTCCTAAGACTGATGTACTTCGCGCTCTGCCAAATTACATATTAACCTTATTATATTAGTGATTACAAACCAAGCAGAGGTCAGGTCCTCGTGTGTGCTTAGTACAAATGTAATAAAAAACTGGTTTTGGCTTGAGGAATTAAAAGTGGGATCGAATTCTAAGAAAATCTAGTTCCCCAGGCATAAGTAATAGCTAGAAATTGGGTGAGTTTGGTAGGTTAGTTTTCAGCTATTGGGAACTTACTTGTGTGATCCACCATCAAGCTGGGCTGAATGTATAAACCAGGGTGTCTTCTGTAAATGAGTTGGCCTTTTTTCCCCCCATTTCACTGAGAAAAGTGTATGTTGTTTTTTTCCCCTAATTTCATGAAGCAATGCATGTGATATATTGGGGAGGAGGGTTCTGTCTTTCTGGGGAGACCAATTCCTGCTTTTTTAATGTATCAGATAGAATATCGATGAGGAAAACAAAACAAAACAAAAACTTTTAGATTGTTGGGGTGGGAATGGGGAGGCAGAGGGAGAATACAGTCTTTTGCTGGACTTACCTGAATGGTGTTAGCAGTTAGGATGTCGCAGGCTGGAAGCGCAGAATGTCACCCAGAACATAAAGCTGTCAAAATCTTTGAAAGATCAGTACTGGAAATTATGTTTTTGAATGCTTGGGCAGGGAACTTTCTATAGTCTTTTGAGGGTGGAAGTGGGAAGGCTGTTCTTCCCTAGTCCATGGACATCTCTATGCTTGCCATTCCTTGGAAAAAAAATAAAATTCATTTTAAAACAGCAAAACTCTTGCAAAATTTTCTGTAAACTATAAATTCTCTTCAGCCTCCAGAGAAGGTTTTGACATGCCACGATGTCAAAGAAGCACTTAACTCTGTTTTCTTGTTTTCCTAATGTGTTGGGCTGTTTCCAGACCTTTAGGGGGCTGCAGACCATACCTTTACTATATTTGACTTTTCCATACAGCCTGATTTTATAGCTCTCAATAGCACCTTAACATTTGGATCTATATTTCTCTCACTCTGAAGGACAGATGTAACTGCAGTCCAAGCAGGAAATTTTAAAACAAAAATTAAACCTTACCCCCAAGCCTTTCTGTTGCACCCTACAGGGGATTAAAGCAGTCAGCCATCTGTTTTCACAGATTAGCCTGTGTTAGGAGTGCATCTTTGGGGTTGTGCGTGATACCTGTGGTTAGGTTGACTTCTCTAATTTCATAGCTGCAGAAACCCCACTGTTCCCTGCATCCCTCCTAATCGATACAGTAACATCATGACCATGAAGAAGGTTTGTCCTTGGCTTTTTTTCCCTCTGCAGAGAGGCAATATTGCCACTACCCCCACCCTCACCCTCACCCCCCTCCAAAAAACACAAAAAACAAACTAAAAAACCCAAGCCATTTTGAGTTGGCTCTCGTTTGGTTATTGGGGTTGCTCTAGAACTGTCCACCTACCTTCAGGTATACTAGCAAATCCTTTCTAACTCTGACTGGCATGAAAATTGATGAAATGTCCTAGGTGGAATGACCACATTTACCCAGTATAATTGAAGCAGTTCTAGGCCTGATTATTCTAGAGGGAAACTTTGGTTGTGATTAGTGACTGACTTAGCTAAAAGGCTGTCAGACCAGCTTGTGTGTCTTTAGCTCATTATAAATTGTGAATTGTCTCTTTCTCCAGATCTGACATCCAAACCTTGAAAATGATTAAACTGATTCTATCCTGGTGTTTCTCCTCCCAATGTCTTTAGAAGTGAGTCACGTTTCTCCTTTGTGTGCAAGGCTGTTGTCAATAACTTTATACTTCCTTCTGTGGCCAGCTCTTAACCTTGCTGTTTGTGAAAACATCTGGGTCATGAAGACCTAGTTGTACATGTAGAGGTCACTGACCACTTGAGGGGGGCAATAAATTGGTCTTATTGTAATGGAGGAATGGTTAATATCGAGAGGAAACATCCTTTGTAACACAGGATTTCAGTTTTGTCTTTTCATGTAGCTTCTGAAATACGTAGTACTTCCTTTGTTTGCTTACCTGATATACATAGGTAGCGGTACCAAATAGTACATGTCTTATATGTTACATGCGTGTTTCAGTCCCTCTTTAATAGTCTCTTTGACATCTCTAGAAGCTAAGAGTAAATGCTACCCAGGCCCCAAAGTCCCCGTCTTGCAGCTGAGGTCCAGATCACAGTGGAGTGGAGCGGAGCGGAAGGTTTAGAGAAACCAGATAGGCGTTTTTTGCCTTGAACAGCTTGGCAATCGGAGCTTAAGTAAGTGGCTTACCTGGCAGTACGCCTGCAAGCCTGTGGCAACACTGAGAGTCATGCCCCGTTCAAATCCAGGCTTTTCCTCTTCCTCACTGCCACATTGAGCCTCTGCTAGTAGGGAAGCAAATCTTTTCTTTACAACTGAGGCTGTGGCTCAACAGGATAATGGAACTGTATGGACAATCCAATGCCTAGTGAAGACAGTGGGAGCCATTCTCTAGCTTCAGCTAGGTCTGGGCTAAGGCATGTTTCAGTACCATTGATGTCCCATGGAGTTCCAGTTGCCTTGGACAAAGAAAGGTAATTCTTTAGTCAGGACAGGGTAGCCAGAGCCACCTAAGTGCATTTTGAGAGAGAGATTGGAAATATTACAGAAAGAGGAAAACACAAGAGCAAAACCTTACTATGGTCTCACTCAAATTTCTGGATGATAAAATCTTTAGTTGCATGTTATCGAGCTGTGTTCCTGTGACCTAATTTGTTTCCTGAAGTCAGAGGAGCAGTAGGAGATGGGTGAGTATTTCTGGGTGGAGATAGGTATTACAAGGAAACCAGATTGAAAGTGTGTGGTTTACTGTCACCAGTTTACCAGCTTGGTTATTTTCCTGAATAGTGGCCTAAACCTGTCCCCGCAGGACTGTGTGAAAAATTTCCCTGAACTTAATATATAACCTAAAAGCAACGCGCTTGACCCTTTCTCTGTAACATTTTGAAATGCCCATATTCTCATCCAGGTGTTTCTTCTTCTAGGGAGCCCCGATAGCCAGGAGATGTACGTTTTTAACTTGACGTCACTCACCGAGTCTGAAAACATCTTGTCAGCTTCAGTGTATTATTATACTGGTGATCTGCTGCGTGCTAAGTGGAACTCTTCCCAATCCAGAGGCTGTTCTCATCACAGGCACAGGAAACCTGAAATTCAGATGCATCTTTCAGTTTGGACCTTTCCTTCTGTTGGGAACCAGACTCGGAGCCTGGGACATTTCCTAATAAATGTCTCCACTCCTTACCAGGATGTCCTTTCCTGGCAGTGGAAGGATATCACTCATCTCCTGCATGAAGCAAAACAAAACAATGAACTCCTGATCAGTGTCAAAATGGATCTGAGTGGCCATCATCCCTGGAAAAGGCCACCTTCTCGTTATGAGCCCTACATTCTGATTTATGCCAATGATTCTGCTATTTCAGAGCCAGAGAGTGTTGTCTCTAGTTTGCAAGGACACCGTCATCCTCTAGCAAGGGTCTTTCCTGGACCGGAAAACCACATGAGGAGCAGCCTCGGGAAACGGCGGCGAAAACGTTCCACAAACATCCTGTTGCCATTGCAGAATAATGAGCTTCCAGGAGCCGAGTACCAGTACAATGAGGATGAGAGATGGGACGACAGAAAACCCTACAAAACCTTCCAGCCACGGTTAGCAGAGAGGACAAAGAGTAAGAAAAAGCAGAGGAAGAATCATCACCAGAAGAGCCAGACTCTCCAGTTTGATGAGCAAACGCTGAAGAAGGCGAGGAGGAAGCAGTGGAATGAGCCAAGATATTGCGCCCGGCGCTACCTCAAAGTGGATTTTGCAGACATTGGCTGGAGCGAGTGGATTATTTCCCCTAAATCCTTTGACGCCTATTACTGTTCAGGGGAATGCCAATTCCCAATTCCAAAGGTATGTTCTTTATTGATTCTTTTGCACTTTCTGATTACTGTAAACTGTGCGTTTTCTTTCCCGTGTCAGTAAAAGACAGCTGGTCACCTGTTATATGTTCGGATCTGGTAAATAAGTAATATCTTTGTCTCATGCTGCAAGGCGTAGTGGTTAGAGCAGCTAGTAAAAAGACAGGCTCGTAAAGGTAATTAAAAAAATGCTACATGGTATTAGTTTTTTGTCCAGAACCCAAATTGCCATAAAACATTTCCTGAATAGTGCTTATGATGTGTGAACTTGTTATTAACCTGTTTAATAAACACAATACAAGCCAGATCCAGAAAATTGCTTATTAGGCAGTAGTCGTTATGCCTCAAAGGAGTCTCTGCTGCCAGGCCCACGCTGGGGTCAGTCAGTGTAGCATGCTCTAAGAAAAATGTGTGCCTCGTGAGGTGTGACTGTCACAATGACAGAGAGACTCTGAGGAACTGTAGGAGCAGTTGGGATGCTCTATAAGTGTAAGCAAAATAAGTCACTTCTATGACAGACCAAGGGCATCCAAAAGCAATGGATTGTGGCAAACTGACTTCTGAAATATCCTCTGTATTTTATGAGTTGTTGTATGTGAGTAGCAAGAAAGGGTGATGTACTTCTAGTTCTGTGACTTAGGTGGATGAACTCAGCTCCTTAAAATCAAATGCCCAGTGTCATTATGAGCAGCATGGACCCCCCTGGTGTCTACCAAAACCTGAAAGTAGGATGCGGTATTTGAGGCTGGCCTACAATGAGGGGTACGCACAAATAACGCCTATAGGAAATGTCAGTAATGGTAGGGCTTTTGACCTCCCTGTAACCTCATGTTTAAGAGTCTTTATTCCTGACACAGTGAAGTCTTAGCAGTTAGTTCCAAAATTTATGTGGTATTTCAGTGGCTTAAGGACCCAAGAGTGTCACCCTTTGAAAATGACAGGTGGAGGAATGTACCAAAGGGGATGGAACCCAGAGAAAGCAAGCTGAGGAAGGCAGGAGTCTCTCTTTGAAGGAGATGACTTACCTGATTACCACCAACTCCAGTGGCAGGCTTTCAGGTTTTGGATCAAAGGGAAAAATGAAAGGGAACAGGAAGAGATAGAGTCATTACCTCTGAACACATTGCATTGGGCCTTTTCCTTTATTGTCGATGAGAACCTGCTCTGTCAAACCAGTAACTTGGCATACGGGTTAGAAATTTTAAAAGCACCCAACCTGAACTTCTTCCATTCTAACTTTAAGGACACATAAATTATAAAAATGCCTGCTGTAGCTCTTTGCTTAAGACTGGGTTAGCATTTCCAGTTGCAGCTTTAGTTATAAAAACTTCTTGCCAACCATCGAAGAGTGTTGCTCTGATTTTTGTTTAGAAGAAAATGGTACATGTTACTTAAACCAGAAGAGTTAAAGTATTCTTCACTTAAAATGAGATGCCTGCTATGGGCTACCATCAGTATTACAAAAGAAACAAAGCAGAGAGTCAACTACCCAACAGACAATCAATGATACTACTGGAGGACAATTTAAATCAAGTTCCTCTGTATTTCTGATGATGGAAAAAAAAACCCAAACTGTGTAGCAGCTTCTTAGAAAGGCTTGAAGGTATCTTGTCATAAATCCAAAAGTGTTTAGGTTCCCATTTCCTAAAGTTATAGGGTCTGGTTCTTTCGGCTTTCAAAGAGGCAGATGATAGCTGAGGTGCTGATGAACTCCTAGGATCTAGCATTTGCTAGAGAATAAACATTTCAACCCAGTCACTAGAAATGGGGGGGAGGCGGGGGGGGGGGGTTTGTTTTTTTTTTTTTTTTTTACATTTGTCAGACATGCAAAATAGGTTTCCACCTTCTGAGGCAGAAAAGCTCTCTCTCTCTAACCCTTAATTTCAGGGTTAGATGATGCCTGATGCAGAGACTGTGAAGAACCTCACTTTGCCTCTAGGAGAGTCTGAATCAAACCTTAGATTGGTCAATAATGTGCAGTCTCAAGAACAAGGCTATCTCAAACAGTTTGGGATGTAGTGGTTTTAAAAGCCCTTGTTACCGGTCTCTCCTTGCTCCAACTGAAATCTAATCCTGCTGAGAGCTGACGGGAAATAACAAATTTAAGACAGAAAGCAAATCTCTCTTTAAGAGTTGAGGTGAGACTCTGAGAACACAGATTCTCCAGCAGCAAAAAGCGTAATGTATCTTCATGGAGATAAAGAAACTCTCAGAAACCAAAGGTAGAGCAATGATAAGGAAACACTGTAATAAAAAAGTTCCTATTCCTTACACAGAGCCTTTGTTAGCACCTGTAACTGGAAAATCCCTAATGTGCTCCATAACCTCAGGGCTTAATTCCCAGAGTCACTTCAAACCTCTGGAAAGAAATACAATAACCCATACAAATGTTCCTGCAAGTAAAATGTCCCGAGGTGAGTTTAGTACCAGTGGTTCTGAAGAGGCAAAATTAAGTTTAATTGAAGTATAAACTTAAGTTGGACACTCTGAAGCTCGAGAGGGAGGTATGAACGGTGCACACAACTGAAGGGTAGTTAAGAGGTATTGCTTGGGTTGAAAGAGGAGTTCCAGCTTTGTCTGTGAGTTGTCTGTCTTTGGGTAATTCCCCTGACGTATTACACTGCACATCAAAAGATTTTCTAACATACAGAGCTGAATTTTTTTCTGCCAAATTTGGGTTCTGCTTTCCTGCAGATAGTAGGCCTCTCAGATGTCGTAGTTTAGCTCCATCTTCTCAAGTAAGTAGACTTGCAGTATTGACTACTATTATCACAGTAACTAAGTCTAGCAGTCTCAAAGGAGTGTTCTTCCTCTCCCTCTTCATCCCTGTGCTCTGCCTGGCATAGGCATGTACACACTATCAGAAGTGGTCCCTGCCCTGGAAAAAGCTTATAGTAGAAAAAAGGTGAGAAATATAAACAGGAGAGGTGAGCAGGCGAATAAAGCACAGAGGTTAAATGACTCTGCTGATGTGAAGCAGAAGGTCTGACTGCAGTGCACTAAGCCTGTAGCAAGGCCATAACCAGGACACCAGTTTTCTTCTACAAATTCCTACTAAAAGGCCTAATCTGGCCTTTGTGTGTGAAACTCTCTAGACTTGATTGGGTGAAGAATTAGAGCAGCAGAGCATTATAGTTACCTGGACACTAGGAAGCTGAATATTTGCTGCCATGTATTGCAGACAGAGATAGTTCGTTAAGAGAGCAGGTTACTGAAACCCATTGTGAGTCTGGTTCTCTGAAAGCAGTGGGTAGATTTCTGCCCATGTTGGAAATCAAATTGTTCCTTTTGTGCACTTTTTTAATCGCAAAAACCAAAATGACCTTGTTTTCCAAAGAGAATGAAAAGCTAAATTATATTAAAAGGTGAAGTGAGCATCTTCTAGAGCCATGTCTTATTCTTGAGCCATAATGCATAATATCTGGTGCTACTAATACGACTGTGTTTGCAGAATGATACTATAACCATCAGGCAATAACTGTGCCTATGGGTATATAATGTTCCCTTGCTGAGGGCAAGCTCCTAAAGTTGACAACCTGTTGGGTAATTAAGAACAGATGTGCCTCTTCCCCCCTGCCTTTCCACCTCCAAATGTTCTGGCCTTACTCATTCCTGGATTTCAATTAGCTGGCTTGAGTGCTGTCAAACCCACATGTGTTGGGCTTGTGTAATGCTGCAGAGCATACAGGCCAGGCAGACCCTCTCCCAGGTCAGGAATGAAAGCTCGTAACTGACATCATTTGCCCCACTTGTAATACATCTCTAATGAAATTCAACAGGGCAGCAAGTCTCCCAAGGATGTGTGCAGCTTAGCAGGTGCAGCCTGAGCCACAGCTGGATTCATTCATAGATTTGGCAGTTGGGAGTCAGCTCGGCATTTTTGCCTCCCGCTGCTTGTCTCGGCCTCCCCTGCTTCTCCTTTCCTAAAAGAAAATCTCTGCCTGGTTTCATGACCATGTGCTGGACAGAGCATAGGCATCCCACAGGCAGTGGCTGAACTCACCCGCCTTATGCAGGGCATTATGCCAGCTCAGTACTCGAGCGGGATTTCGGTTTTCAGAGAAGCACACGCCTTTGGATTTTACTCTGGTCACAGTTAAATTCCCAGTGGCAGAAGCAGAGTTATGCCAAAGCCGTTATCCTCAAGAGTGCACCTTAAGGGCCAGGGGCAGCGTGTATTCAAGACAGACTTCAGGTCAGTACAGAGGATGTTCTGTATTGTCTGATTCCTGTATCAAACAGAGATACTTCTTTTATCCAGGCTCTTCCCGCTGATAGCCAAGGCAATACTTGAAATCAGTTCTGTACAGTTTAGCATTTGAGTGGTACAGATTCCATATCTGAAGGGAAAGGTTTCCAATGAGACCTTAACACAGCATAAATTGGAGACTCGTTTTTAATACCAGTACTACTGGCAACGGGAAAAAGGGTCTCAATAGATATTTTACCTTTTGATGTCTGATCAGCAGGCTCAGGAGATCTGTTTGGCTCCCAGATATTTTTGCAGAGAATGCTGCACTGCAGCTGAGTAAGGAAACAAGCCTGGATGCTACTGGAGCTTTCTCTTCATTTTGCATACAGAAATGATACAGAAATCTGAATTGTGTACTAATCTAAGACATTTTTGAAATCCCTATCAACTACTGCTGAGGGGTATAGGTACTCTTGAATTCAGAATAAACAAACAGAAATGTCTTGAGATCAGCTACCTAGATGGAGAGTAATGTCTTTGTAACCATGCTGGGAAGCCTAGAGCCATTAAGAGGATGGTGCAACAAGCTTTGTGTTTGTATTTAAAGTAGAATATCACCACACCCCTGCATCTCATTCGTCTGATAAGCTATGACAGTAAACAGCAACAGTGGAAGAAGATCAGGCTCTGTATAATGTCTGCATTTAAAAGGGACTTGGATGCTGAGTATACTCAAGAAAATTCTGATTCTCTCTGCGGATAAACAGAAGCAAGGGATGTGCAGGATTGGCACTGTTTGTTGCTCAGCCTTCCTGCAGGTGAAATAAGTTCCTCATGAGAAGAAAAAAAAAACCCCATTCAAATTATGTCTAACACGTACATAAAGAATAGCTGAGTGCTCCCTAGTGAATCCTTTTCAGTTCTGCGTCAAATGGTTCCAGTTCTATCTTGAGACTAGTTCAAACAACGTGGTATGGAAAATGTCCATCCTGATCCATTTCTGTTGGAATTCAGGGAACAGCTGTCTCTGTGAGAAGGAAGGAAAAGACAGCTGGCAGTAGTTGTGAGCTATGTTGGCGTAAGTAGGGACAGGTTAGACATCTGTGTGTACTGCCAGCAGAATTGGAAGCACTTACTCCTAAATGCACTAACATGCTACACAAACAATACAGCGTGCCAGAATCTCACAGTTATTCCTGTGAAGACTTGCACCACAGGTAGGGTAGATATCTAACCCTTAAGACCCAAAGCAAATCATCTCTCATCGCAGCAAAACTGCCAATTGCACATTTGGCCCAAATGATCTTGTTCCATATATTTCTCAGTGTCATCTGACTGAGCACATTGAACTGTGTGATTCCCAGGTTCTACGTGTAAGAAGAGCTCTAAAAAGCAGTGTTAAAAGTTTCACTCTTACAAAACCAAAAGCCTTTGTCTAAAAAGTGCATCTTGTACATTTTTCATGCTCACCTATCTTTTGTACAGATAGTCAGATTTGGAAGGGTTTTGGAGGTAAAACAGTACTTTTCATTTCTATGAATTTGTTCATTTTTATTTTTATGAGTATGTTAGTGTATTTTGGTTTTGTGAACAAATACAGTTATCTCACTGTTGAGATTTGCATTTTGTTCATATCAAACCAAAGTGTGTTCCTATTTACACAAGTAAAACTCCAGTCATTTGGAGAAAAATATCACCTTAATATGAGGTACAACTGACAAGGGATTAGGGGGCTCAGTTACTCAGCAATGTCACTGATGATGTATACTAGAGATGAGAAGTGATTTGGCATGGAAGAATGAGTGAAACAACCTATCCTGGCCCAAGAGCAAATTGGAACAATTAGCATCATGGTGTAAAGTACTTCCATTCTCTCATCTGTACACATTTTATCTGCTTTTGTTTTTCCTGATTCACTTGTCCTGATTCCACCAGTCAGACTTCCTACAAGTTACGTTTCTTTTGCTCCCCTAATGACTCAGCCTGCCAGCATGTTGACTGCCTCCCTCCCAGCCAAACAAGTTTTATGACTCAATTACAGCCCACGTGTAACTTAATTCACTCAGAAGAGACTACCTTGACCTATAGGTGCACCTTGCTGCAAGGTCTGCTGCCTGGGTGTTTTCCTGGGAAGGCACGCACATCCCAAAGAGAGCTGGAGGCCCTGTCCCCAGGAGGACTCTCGAGCTGAAAGCGGTGGAGTGGCACTCACATCTAGTGGCCAAAAGAACCAGATCAGATTCACATTCCCTGGTGCTGCCTCAGGGCACCTAAAATAACAACTGGAAATGGTCGAGTAGAAGACAGATTTTACAGCTAGTCAGCTGTGGGGTCTCCACAGGGCCCTTCTTCAATAAACCAGTTTTGTTCCAGTGTATGTGGGTCCATTCCAACATGTGTGCAGTTACACTGTCTGCTGTATCTTTCTCTTGCAGGCCTTGAAGCCATCCAACCATGCCACAATCCAGAGCATAGTGAGAGCTGTCGGGGTTGTCCCAATCGGTGTTGTCCCAGTCATTCCTGAGCCTTGCTGCGTTCCTGACAAAATGTCTTCTCTTAGTATCTTATTCTTCGATGAAAATAAAAATGTGGTTCTAAAGGTGTACCCCAACATGACAGTGGAATCCTGTGCATGCAGATAACATCTTGGGAGACCCTTTTGAAATGCTGAGGTGATCACTTGCTATTTGAGGGGTTGGGAGGGGGGTTGTTTCACGATATCTACTTTTTGTTTGCACTGCCAATGCATTTCCTTTGGACAAAAAAGAAAAAAAAGTAAACAAATCCAAACAAAGAGGATGGACATGGAATGGATTCAGAATAGCAATTCCAAGGAAAGAGAATACAAACTTCATTTGTCTCTGAATTTGACCAAGATACAAGTCTTGGCAATGGGGACTGACTCTGTTGAAATGAAGAGATGAAAGAGGAATTTGCAGAAGACTCTTCAAGAGTTTGGAGACTGCCAGAAGGACATACTGATCTATTTTTGTACAAGATTTTGCAAGCAGCAGTAGCTGTTAATTTTTGTCTCCGTTCTTATGGTGACTAAGGGGGAGGGAGACTAGAAATATACTATTCTTCATTTTAAAGCTAAGCTTTCTGCCTTAGGTTATTGAGTAGTGCAGCAAGGAAGAAAAATAAATCCAACATCCTAAGAGCCTTAGGTAATCCAACTTAGGCACGTATCTCCTTGGTGCGACGTGTCATCGACTACGTGTGTGTATTCATTTTCATTGACATGTTCTTCGTAATTCAGCTTATTAGATGTCAGTGCCCTCGGTTGGAAGAACACAAAACGCATTACTGCTGCATGCATAATTGTGGTAGCTCAAAAGCAAAGACTTTTCTTTCATGCCACTATGGAAACTCAGCAGGCCAAGGGTATGAAAGTATCACACTCAGTGAAGCGGCTGAGTGACTTGCTCACAACACATATTCTAGAACATAGTTGCAAATAATCTATGAATAAATCATGGTAGTTGATTCCTGATGTGAAATTACGTGGTGCATAATTCCTATCTGTAGGCCTTCACTACGATTATTTGATCAAAACTGGCTCTGCTTGGTGAGTTTTGATTGTTACGTTAATCAGATGGATTTTTTTTTCTTATCTCAGTTCGCCTCTACTCTGAAAATCAAATTTGTTGTACCTATGCTGTCAATCTAAAATTTCTTACTAGCAGGTTTTGCACAATAAAAACACAAAACATTCTTTCAATTACTTTATCCACCAAAAAATTCATTTGAGAAACTACAAGCAGGAAAGAAAACATCTAATGAATCTCCGGCATAGCTGCAAAAAGTTTGTTCTGTTACAGAGTAAATGTTCACAGAAGTACTTTAGACAGAACCCAGGTTCCATTTCAGCAGCACTCTCTGTAGAGGATGATGCTTTTTACAGTGCTTTTGGCTGGTGAGGGCGATGTTTTAGTTTGTGCTAAGAGTAGAAGTCAAACAACCCTTCCCATAAGTTACCTACATAACTTGACTATGAAACAGTGTATTCAAAGGCAAATATTCGTAGGGAATAAATTACTTCCCCATCATCATGAGAGTTAAATTCTCTACTTCGGAGTCACCAATTCCTCAGTATATTGAAGGTGCCAACAGTTTTCCTATGTACATGCCTTTTTGCAGCTTCATAGCTGTTTAAGGCTAGTTTAAACACTTGGTCATTGATTTTTTTATTTGGTCTGTCATGTTTACCAACCTGAGTAATGTGCAAGCGTGAGAGTGGTGTGGAGGTGGAATAGGTAGCCTAGGGATCCTTTCAGCAATCACTTTTTACCCACACAAAGTGTCAGTGGAAGCTGACAGGACTTAAAAAAAGAAAAAAGAGAAAAAAGAACCACCAGTTAGTCCGAGACGGAAGTTATGCATGTTGCCCTTCCCTTACCTGCTCAAACAGCATACCTCTGCCGTTCAATTCCCAGAGTGCCACTGGATACATCCTCATTGGCTCTAATTAAGCAACAGTAATTAGCACAGCTATCCAACCTGATTGCTGTATGTTAGAATTCCAAGAGTTCTGTAGCAGCTTATTGCCTTGAAGGATCTGTTCTCTGGAAAAGTCTCAATTTCTAGAGAACAAGTACCATCACCAGCATAGAGGAGCAGAACTGCCATCAAAACCAAGAACTAAGTGTGAAGCTGTGTACATTGAGATCAAGGTTCATTTGATCCATTTCCATATGCAGGAGAAAAGTCAGACATTCTGTGTGCAAATGGGATGGATTTAGGAGGAAAAAAGCTGTGCTGAAAAGACTGAGTTGCAGACAACTGAGAGCTTTTCATGGCTGTGTCTTGGTAATAAAAAAGAGCCTGTCTCTCTGGTGTGGAGCTGTGTAGGCCCCTGTCTTGACTTTAAGGACAGGCAGAAGTAGTGATGTGCACAGGCTGCCCATACCATAGGGCTCACCTTTTCATCCACTGGTCCACTCCTGGGCCCAGTGTCATTAGGACACATAAGGGAAGCCACTGGCTAAGCTGGAAGCAGGCTTGGATTTTCAGTAGACATCAGGCCCTGCAAGCAAAACAGATGCAGTGATTTTTGACAGTTATCTTTTGTAAGAACTGCACAGGTAAGTCTGTCAGTCATACAATTCAGTGTGACAATGGCTATTGTTAAAACATCATGAGCTCAAACAATAGACCTAACTGATCTTCAATTTGTAGAGAGCTTGTGGCAAAATAGATTTCATAGAGCTTGACAAGGCAACCTTGGCTTTGTGCCAGCACATCCCATTTCTTTATTCAAGGTGAGCTGGCTGGTGATGAGTAACGCACTTATCGCCAAAATAATTTCCTTCACCATATTTTTGAGGTTCTTGAGGTGCACACCTCTTGTCCTGAGTAGAAACGTGGGAGCTGCTCAGTAGCCCTCGAGGGCTGGATTTATCCGTGCATCGCCCTGTGCTAGGATTACAGCATGTTCCTTAGAGTAGCACCAGACTGCACCTTCCCAAACACAGCACAGAGAAGAAAGTACCTCGCAGCTTCCTAGCTGGCCACAGGAGGGCTGGGGGGTCATCCCGCTGCACATGAGACTGCTGCCTCGGAGAAGGGCAGTCAGTCCCCCAGGAAAACACTGCGAGAATGGGGACCCCGTAAGGTGAGGAGTCGCTGGGCCCCAGCCTCCTGCTTGCTGGGGATGAATTGGAGTGACTGGCTCTTGGGCAGAAGGTCAGAACTGAGCCGAGCCCAGCTTGGTCTGTGGACGGTATCTGGCACGAGTGGTGCCAGGAACCAGCTCCTCAGAGGAAAATGCAGAGGTCGGACGCTCCTTGGCCCACCCCTTGGGTGGTAGCAGAGTCACCCAGATCAGAACAGGGTGTTGGCAGCCAAGCTTCCAAACTTAGGCAATCCAGAACAGCAGCCCTAACTAAATGTAGGTGTTTCCCCAGCACAGCATTCTGGGGCAGCCCTGCTCTGAGTCACTCTCAGGGACTGAAGCCGAGTTCAAGGCTATAGGCAATGCTTTCCAGTGCTGTGATGAGACAGCCTGGAAGTGACCTTAAAAGCATCATCTGAAAATGAGCATGAATATGTCGTGCTTGTTTTTTTACTGGGATACAGCCAGACTTTGTCATGAACTGTATCATGTAGAATAGAAGTGTTCTCTCCAGTTAACCATATATAAAGGAGACATTTTATGCCCACATCTTGTTTTGCATTTGTATCTGTAAATGAAACTTTCTACATAAAAACATGTCCAGCATCAATAATGTATTAATCACACAGGCCATAATTTCTGTAAATAACTTTATATTAGTAGGGACCTCTAAATAATTTCCAACTCATGTTATTAATCACCATTTTAATCTCAAATCAGGACGGGAGGCTTTTCCCACCTCTTCTGCTTTTTTTTTTTTTTTAAATACTATCAACCGATAAATGGCGCTGCTTCCCATCTAATTATGTAGTACCTGATGCCCGTGCATTATTTTTATAGCTGGCTCACAAGATGGACAGGAGAATGTCTCAAGATACACAAGCTCTCTCTTCAGATAGGCTCTTCTGGGAGCAAATTCCCCAGTGAGGAGCAGACTGTGAGAAGGCTACTGCAGAAAACTCTTCAAAATCCCACTCTTGGCAGCTGAATAGGGAATCTCACGGTAAGTGTGCAGAATACAGAGTGCAAAATAAAACTTGCTTATCCTGCAGTGTGGTACCTTGACCCAGGAGAATTGCCTGCCAGAGCAAATGCCACTGTTCCCCTGAGCAGGGTCACAAGGCAGGCTCTGTTTTTTCCTTTGTCTGGGGGCCCTGAACTTGCAAGGAGCTGAGCACCTTTCATACAGCGCCAAGCAGCCCTGGGGTTGCAAATCACTGTGCTCCGCTGCAGGGCTGGCCCAAGAGAGGAGAGGCTCAGCAGTTTGCAGGAGACCGACGTTTTGTTTAGCGACCCATTTCTCCTTGTAAAAACATCCTTTTAAAATTATTTCTGTTGAAAGGTTAATCTTTGTACAGACTATGTCAATTTTTAAAAAAATAAAATTAGCCCCCAAAAGGAAAAGTTATTTTGTATATGGAAAGAAACTTTTTCAGATGTTTTTAATTTATTTTGTATCTGTGGCCATCTTTTCCTCTTAATGTTTCCTTCTTTATCTCAGTGCTCTTTAAACAATACAATTTTCTCTGTCATTGCAAAGATGAAATGCTAGGACTATAGTCAAGTTTGCAAGGACAGAAGGCAGCCACACTGGGAAGGACATGTTTCACTACTGATATATAAGCTTGCCTGATAACCTTTTTTTCCCTTCAATAAAAGGAAAGTTTCACTAGGAACTCTGGATAAAATACAAAATAAAATAACTTTTTACATGAAAATTCATTTTTTCTGTGTGGTATTCGGGTCTTTCCAAGACCATTAAAGTTTCCACTGCTTTCTGTGTTCAACACTGTGGAAATGTGTCCATCTCAAGAGCTCATTTGCAAAGGCCATTCAAACAGAGATTGTCTTCCTAGAGCAAAGTACAGAGTGGCTGGGGAGTGAGTGCTATGGATTCAGTTAAAGGTTAGCTAGTATGACAGTAAAAAACTACTGAGGTTACTGGACCTGATCCAAGGCCCAAAGGTGTCCATAGATTTCTGTCCATTTGCTTGACTGAGTTTTGACTCCAGCCCATAAAAATAATGC